GTAGAGGCCCCCAGGAGCTAGAAATAAGGCTTTCGTTAACACTCCCTTTCTGAAAAGGATATAGACTCAGGAGTGCAGAGAAGACACCAATTAAAAGAGAGCATGAACATAGAATGTGCAGAGAAATGGCTATTGGTGGGTCTGCTGACCCACTGAATCAAAGTCCCAGAGAATTCAAAGGCCAGAATCTAGATTAGTGGGAAGGTGAACTGGAAGCACAACTGTAAAAATGGCTCTCCATGTTGGACCATGTCCATCCACTCAGTGTCTGAATGAGCATTAGACATGTCTTGAATGAGATGCAATGAATGCCTGCCTGAGCGCCGGGTTCTCTAACATGGCTACTGGAGGGTGGGTCTACCTCTTGGAACGGTTGTGAGGGATGAGTGGCAGCACATATGACGCTTAGCACAGTTGGCTGGCACACAGAAAACCTGTTACATTAGCTGTTATTTAATATTGTAATGACCTTGAGATGAACCCTGCTTCCTCTGTACAGATGAGGAAGCCAGTGAGGGGCAGGGTTGATATCTGAACCTCAGTCTGAAGCCAAAGTCCATGTTGTTCCCAATGCATGGTTTAGCTTGGAAGGGCCCACAGCCTTGACGGTAAAGGAACTTGAGCCCTCAGAGTTCCTTTCCACAGCTAAGGGATGTGAAAGTGGAAGTATCTCATTTATGATGGATGTAAGGCTGGCAGGAAGTATTTGGGACAAAGCCACAAAAGCTTATTTGCCTGAACTCTTTTTCTTTCATCATCTCAGGCTGGTATAGACCCAGAGACACCCTCTGTGCATGCAGAGAAAAGCCAGGGTTCTTCAAGAACAAAACCAACTGAAAATTAGTCCTTGGCAGATGCTTTTAGATACTGCAGAAAGAGTGAGGAGAGACATTTAGGCCCCTGGGGAAGGCAGCTCTGAGACAGGTGAATTAATCACCTTCTGTGCTCATGGACTCTTCAAGTTGTTTTGTTAGTGCTCAGTTGTGGTTCCCAATTACCATTCTCAAGAACACAGTCAGCATGAAGATGTGGGGGGCAGTTAGGTAGGTGAACAAGGCAATGAATGATAGGGTCTGAGGACAATGGGGGCCAATATTGGTTTCTAAGGAAGCAGAGTAAAGAACACAGTAAGGCCCTGGGGTACGAGGACAATGGGGGCCCAGAGTAAAGAACACAGTATGGTCCTGGTGGGAGAAACCAGGGAGGGTGTCTTAAAGGTTAAGTTTCTAAAAACAAAATCTCTACAGGCGGTCCGCTACCTACAATGGTTAGACCTAGAACTTTTCACTTTTCTGTTGGTGTGAAAGTGATACATGCTGCCTCCAGCCTGGGTGAGGGGTGATAGGGGATGAAGACAGACACACCTAGAGAGAAAGCTGGGACATGGTGGGACACTATCCTCTGATGGAGAAATAATGACCCAGAGCTAGTTCAGCATGTTTATTATACAGGTTAACAAAGGTTTTTTGTGGGAAAGTTTCAGTAAAGCAGACAGACTTGAAGGTTGCAATGAAACTTGCGAGACATCGAGGTTCTCTCTTTATGCCCAGAATTCTCTATCCATGGGAGTGGGTGCCTGAGCTCTGCGCCTTTGCACAGAGCCTCTGCAGGCCAGGCATCACCATAGCAACCAGGCCATCTTGACCTCCACCTTTGCACAGGAAGTTCCCAGCACAAAGGTAGCCTCGAGGCAACCAGAGACTCTGGTTCAAGTCATTACTCTCCACAGATACACAGTAGTGAAACTGTACTTTTTTTTTTTTTTTCCAGTACTGGGGATTCAATCCTGGGCCTTGCACATGCTAGGCAAGCGTACTCTACCACTGAGATACATCCCCAGACCCTATACTTTAAATTTAGAATTTGAATCTTTTCCTGGGTTAGCTATATGCTGTCTGATACTCTTGGACAATGCTGAACAGTAGCAGCGAGTCACAACTCCCAGTCAGCCATGTGGTCATGAAGGGAAATAACGGATCCTCTGCTGTGTACTGTTGCTAAGCTACAATGTTTGATATGTTTGGAGTATTAAGTACATTTTGAACTTGTGATAGGTTTACCAGGATATAATTCCCACTGAGTAAGGAGCACCTTAGATTTGCCAGATCTAGATGGAAAAATGTTGGGAGTGAAAAGAGGAGGGTATTTCAGGCAATGGAATGTGCAAAGATTGAGAGAAAGAGAGCCTAGGTCTTTGGAGGAAGTGAAAGCAGTGCCCAGGGGAGAGAAGTGTGAAAAGACTGGAGGCCAGAAAAGCAAACAGTAGCTAAAGCCTTGGGCAGCCATGAACACACACTGAAGATTTTGGGCTTTATTCAACACTGAAGGATTGCATGCTTTTAAGCAGGAGACCAACATGATTTGCATTTCAGAAAGATCGATTTGGAGAGTGCAGTAGACAGAGTCTGGCAGCAGAGAGGAAGTGGCAGATGAACTGGAGAGACATGGGAGGGGTCAGGCACAGAGTCCAGAGTGAAACTAGGTTTTGGTGTGGGCAATTAGATGGATGACTTGACATTAGCTCAAATCAATAGAAGAGGCTGGATGTGGAGTGTGCAAAGTGCTGAATGTAGCCATCAAAAACTCAGAGGAAGAAAATGGGAGGAATGTGAATATTACGAGTCATCAGCGCAAAGATGGTGCCTGGATGTAGGATGGATGAGGTCACTTGAAGGAAGCAGACTGAGAAGAGGACAAAGACCAATTTCTGAAGAAGGCTAGTAGTTAAAGAGCAGTCAAAGGAAGTGGGACTGCCAAAGAATCAAAAAATCTCTGTATAATGAGATGATAAAATAAACACATTTATCCAATTAGGATAGGAAGAAAATTAGAGCAAGTCAGAGAAGCCAAGTTTTGTTTTTGAATGTCACTGGGGACTGAATTAAGGGATGCTCTACCACTGATCTACACTCAGCCCTTTTATTTTGATAGGGTCTTACCAAGTTGCCCCAGGCTGGCCTCAAACTTGCAATCCTCCTGTCTCAGTCTTTCAAGAAGCTATAGGCCTGTGCCATGGTGCCCAGCCCCAAGGAGAATATTTTAAAAAGGTAAGTCAGGCATGGTGTTGCACACCTGAAATCACAGCAACTCCAGAGGCTGAGGCAGGAAGGTCACAAGTCCAAGGCCAGATGAATGACTCTGCAAGACCATTTCAAATAAATAGGGGTTGGGGAGGTAGTTCAGCAACAGAGCCCCTCGTCTAGCATGTGCAAGGGTTCACTCCCCAGTACCAGGAGTGGGTGGGGAAGGCAGGAGTCCTTTTCCTGCAGACCACTATGAGAAAGACCAGACTCCAGGATTAGATCCAATTTAAGACACCAGTTTACTCCCACTGGTTTCAATGTTGTGCACCCCACTTACCTTCCACTCTGGAACTGAGCGCCACAAAGATACTACCCAGGCAGAGTTGCCTTCATTCTCCCTTCCATTTCTTTTATTAAATGTGTCTGTTCTAGGTCCTATCCTGTCTTCATATATGACTTTATTCCACCTGGCTCTATATCACTCTAGATTTCCTCGATCTTTGGTTAGCTTGCAGTGCTGTGCATTTCTAAGGAAATCTTCTAGTAGAAAAAAAATCCAATAGAAAAGCAGATACAGTTTCATCACAATCTGACCCAAATGTCCCTTTTACTTTATAGCTTACACTCTTTTTAAAAAAATTTTTTTTAGTTGTAGATGGACACAATCTTTATTTTCTTTCTCATTTTTTAATGTGGTGCTGAGGATTGAATCCAGTGCCTCACACATATTAGGCAAGCGCTGCACCACTGAGCCACAACCCCAGCCCCTAGCTTGCACTCTTTAAAGCTGTAACCTGAAGACTTAAATTCTGAGGAACTAGTGCTGACTACTCCCTGAAGTTCAATCTATTATTCTTTCTAAAAAGAATAAGAGATCGAAATAACAAAAAATGTTTTAACTTTGGCAGGAGGCCAGTGAAGGTATCACCCCTCCTAGTCTACTCAAGTTTGGACAGTGACATCTTTGTGAGGTTTCTGTTTTTTGAATATTTTGTGTATTAAGGGAAATGTATGAGATAACTGTCTAAAATGCAAGCAATATTAAGGAGCTTGAACAGGAAGGACTCATCTAATGAGAGGCTAGGAAATGAGATAATCTCTTTTATAGAATCATCTGATATTGAGGAAACAAGGAATTTACGAAGGAGGGGACACAATGAAATTAACCAAGTGGTGCTATCCTTGGGGATCAATAACCTTTAGACCTAGACCTATCAAGAAGGCTGTGGCAGATGAATGCATTAGGGCTGATCTATCCAGGGGTTTATTTCTCTTAAGAACAGTTGTTCATTGTTATGAATTTTTGTAAGAACAATAATTTTAATTTATACATTAAATAGTTGTAGGCTATGACTTCAATTAGGAAGTCAAAGAACCAAGGTAAGAACCACGTGTCATTCATGTAAAATTTTCAAAGTTACCTACTTTTAAAAATATGTAATTGAAGACCAAAACACAAAATAACAACACAAAAATACAAAACCTCTCAAGTTCAGCTCTTATTCAACTATGTCCTAAATAGATGTGAGAAATCCATTTCATGTGCTAGAAAATGAGATGAGTAACTGTCAGCCATGATGACCCTGCTTGCTTATTCTAAAACCCTAACACTCATGAAAGTCCTGATAATGTAGAAATTAAAATTATTGTACTTACAAAAATTCATTAAACTGCATATGCTTTAAATCTCTGTATTGTTTTAAAATTAAATTCAATAAAAAAACATGAAAAAAGTGGCTAAGGGATAAGGAAAAAAGTTACATTATCAGATCCTGTGGCTAAATGAAACAAAATCATCTCTACCTATTGCCCTTAACAGGATCAACAAAATATAAGCAAAGGCTGTTTTTCATAAGTTACTTCTCTTGGGTCATTAAAAGGTCTTCAATAAGTGAAAGCACTCCCCTCCATCCCATTAAAAATTGCAGAGAATTCTGGGGATGTTGAATATGGTTTAAGTTTTCCATGATTTCCAAATGGTTTAAAATGTATTTATTTCTTAAGGAGAAAAGATGAGTGAGTACAGGGAAAAAACATAGTATCGGAGTTACACACAAGCCTGAACTTTCTTAAATGGTTTATAACTCACGAACAGCTTGTTTTTCATCAATATAAAAATCATGGATACTCATCCTACCACATTAAGTATTAGCCTTTGGTTGTAGAATTCGCATTCCATGGTGGGTAATTAGATTTATTTTAAAACTTAGGCTGAAAACAAACCATCGAAAGTCTTGTCCATCTGGAGATTTTAATATATTTATTTGAAAACCAAGTTCTGTGAAAGAGCACACTAAATAGTCATACATCTTCTTTTCAACCAAAGACTTGGAGTCAAGGTTCTTCAGGTCAGCACAGAGGCAATGATACATGCAGTGAGTAACAGATCTCAGAAGAACTTCTGCATAGGCATTTCCAATATGAGCCTGGAGAGTCATCCTTGGATGAGCAAATGAGATCCTGGAAAGGGAAAGAGATGGTCGTAGAAGCTGGCATTATTTTTTATTTAAAAAGCCCCCAAACCTGCTTCTGTGATCCTAGTATGACAGTTTGTGCCAAGATACCAAGTTTTAAAATTCCTAACAGATGGAATATTCTTATCCTTTGAAAAAGTAAGAAAAATTCAATTTCCAGCTGTACACCTCAAAGCCATTTTGTAAGTACCAAAACACATCATCAGTAGGTATTACGAAAAGCTGAAAGGGGCTACCATAAGTCAACTCAATTCTGTGAAGGATCATAACATCCACACTGTCACGTGGTAGATGGGTAAAGCTTAGCTGAAAGATAATTTTCAAAAGCAAGCTTAGGTGGCAGAGAAGTTAGTATAAATCTCTCTGTAATGCGTATTCTCCTGAGGCATGAATATTTTTCCATCTGTGGCAGAGTATTTGTTTAATATTAGAGATTTCTATAAAGTTTTCATTAATTGCTAGTCAATGTGTAACACTGACCATGCTAAATTTGCAACCAGACCTTCAAATGTACTTTTAAATTTTGTCATACTGTAATAAATGACACCCTGCTTCCTTAGAGTGGAATAAAAATAGCTTAGTGGAATTAGAGAAACCTGATTACATGTCATTCATATAGGTGTCTTCAAATGTATGTTGACTATTAAAAAGAAATGGAGGAATTCAGAGTGACAATTTCATGCAGGTTATTCCAATCTTCCAAATCAAAAGACCCGCTTCGACACTGTCAGAACACTGGTCACATTTTTCAGCTGGATAAAGCTCTGTGGTATTGTCTAATTGATACCAAAGTCCCTAAAAGTAGCAATTCTTATGTACACTAAATGTTTAATAGCTCCACTGAATAAACAAATATTAAAGTTTTAGTGCCAAAAGTACTGCCAAAAGAGTCAGAAAAGAATCAGGGAGAAGTCTACACCTGTGCTACTCAAAAGTGTGATCTATGGACCAATGTTGGCCCACAAATTATGACTGGTCCACAAGCAGCTTATACAGCATGTACACCAATGCCATCACTAAGCAAACTACACAGTTCAGCTGACTATTTTCAATAGTTTTTCTGGATAAAAGAAGTACTGAGTAGTTGCACATTCGGGAACAACCACTATATCTCCCTATGAACTTCTAAAAATAGTGTGCAGAGCAGCCACTTTGAATAACAGTGGTAGATTACTACAGAGTAGAGTCAAAGAAAAAGGGAGTTTGTGGTTTTGTATGCAGAAAGGGGCTGAAAAAGGGGTAAGTTTAATATTGTTTAGGTCAACAAGGACCAAGCACAAAAGAAGAGGAAGAAGTAAAACAACGTCCTTATACAAAACATTTTTAAAGTCTTAACAAAGAGGTTTCCCCTCATAAATATAATTTTGTTAAATGCTCACCTCTGGTTCTTAATCATCAATATATTCAAATGGCTCTGGGGGTTCTGGCTCTTGCTCCTCTTCTTCAATTTTCGGGCCATGTGCTGCCACAGGTTCTACTAGCTCTTCAATGTCTTCACTGGTGTCCTTCAGAATGATGATGCCTCCAATAGAGAGCTATAAGCACAGAGGAGTGAAGCAGCATAAGCTCCACTAATATTTCAAGATGCTCCATGGAGCTCTAACTTGGTAAGTGTACCTTAAACTACTTGGAACTATACTAGGATAAAGATCACTGTGACCTCTAAGGAGTACTGGTAAGTTTAGCGCAGTGTCTCTGGATGATATAACCCCTGCTGCTGCTCTATATGGATGCTGTATCCCAATTCAACAGCAGAACTTCCCAGCCACAGGGAAGTATGGCTACCAGTAGAACGCTTAATGTCCCAATATGTCATTCTAATGCCTTCCTAATCAAGACAGTGTTCTTCTAGGAATTGGAGCATCTGGAATCTACTTTGGGAACCAAGGAAGTACAACTGTGGCAAGCTACTTGGTCACTCTGGGACATGGGCTGGAAGATGGTTATCATCTGTCTTGCCATCTCCTAGTAGAAACAGTCTGAAAAACATCAATTTCTAAATAAAAAATATTTATCATATCATAAAATATTATCAGTTTTGTAATAGCATCCCTATTATTTCATTTCTTTTATAGTCCCTTTGTATGTATTATATTCATTACCCCAAAATATGTTCATTTTACAAACATTAGAATATCCAGAGAAATAGCAAGTGAAACAGCAATCTTAAAATACTTAAAACTCCACCAGTCAGAGATACGGTTTTGAAAAATTCTGTGGAATTACTTTTTAGTGCTATTAGAAATCTTCATAAAAATGCACAATTATTTTTAAAACAGCACTGAGAAGAGATTTAGTTTGTTTGCTTATGGAGCAGTAAGTACTCTGTAAATATATGTAATGAATACTGAACTTTATGTTGGAAATTTCGCTTAATTTTTGAGTTTGTGGTTTTGTATGTAGAAAGGGGCTGAAAAAGGGGCAAGTTTTCTTTTGAGGTTAGAAAATATATTTTTAAAAAAATCACTTTCAATGACAAGGAAAACAAAAACAAAGAAACAAAACAAAAACAAAGAAACAAAAGAAAAAAAAAGAAAAGATAAGTGTTCTTGGACCAGTAGCATCATTATTACCTGGTAGCTTGCTAAATATGCAGAAAAAGTGGCCCCACTCTGGATGATCAGAATCAGTATTTTAACAAGATCCCCAGTTGATACTGAATACATTGAAGTTTGAGAAAGATCCTAGTTTAATCTACACTGTTGGTGAGATGGACACATTTTAGACAAAGAATCTATAAAAGAAAAGCTGAATTTTTCTCTAGCAATTCCAGAATGATGGAGAAAACAATACAAATACCACAGACATCTGAGAGTTTTCATGTGAATCTATAAAGCCCTATAATGCAAGCCAATGAAAAACCAGATGGGAAATAAAAAGAAAGGAGTCAGCAGCAGCAATTCTATTAAGCCTCTCTCAGTGTATTAGCAGAAGGTAAATCCAAACACCAAACTATTCACCCATCTCTTGTGTGCTAATCATATTCTATTTGCTTGCCTGTGTCAAAAGGAAATGGAAAGCTGCTCTCTGTAATTAAATTAGTCAACAGTGGCAGGGCACATCTGGAAAGAGCATATTCTACCAAAGGACATTACTGGGAAGGAAAAGCAGCATGAGCACATTAGTCTGATGATTCACATATGTATGAGCATCTCTGCAGTTGGACCTAATCTGATTTTCACTCATCAGGACTCTGCCCTGTCATGCTATAAAACTGTATGCCTTCATGAATCCCTAAACTATTTCCCTTCTCCCAAAACATTAATCTACAACTTTCTCCCTTAAAAAAAGTATTATTTTCTTGCCAGGCCCAGTGGCACATGCCTGTAATGCCAGCTACTCAGGCAGCTTACAAGTTCAAGGCCAGCACAGGCAACTTACTGAGAACCCTTCTCAAAATAAGATTTGAAAAAGGGCTAGGCTGTGGTGACAAACCTGCAATCCCAGCAGCTCAGGAGGCTGAGGCAGATCATAAGTTGAAGCTCAGCCTCAGCAATTTAGTGAGGCCTTAAGCAACTCAGCTCTAAATAAAATATAAAAAAGGGCTTGGGTGTGGCTCAGTGGTTAAGTGGCCCTGGATTCAATCCCTGACACCAAAAACAAGGTGCGGGTGTGTGTGTGTCTGTGTGTGTGTGTGTGTCTGTCTGGGATGTAGCTCAGGGGTACAGCACTTGCCTGGCCTGCTAGTACTACCAAAAAAAGATAAAAGTCTTTTTTTTTTTTTTTTTCTTGAAAAGGATGCATTTTATGAAGACTCTGCCTTTATTTCCCAGGAACAATCAAAGTATATAACTACTGTTCTAATGCTCAATGGTCTAAAACTTTACTTGAATCTCCTAATGGACCAAATGGAGATATCTATTAAACAGGAAAAAATATCCATGTTCATAAGATGACTTCATATTTTGGGGAAATAATGTAGCCTCTAGGTTATTACTACTACTTCAGTCTTAACAGGAATGAAATATCCTCAAATCCTGCAATAAAATCAACATATAGAAAAAACTATTTATAGCTCTACACTGTTTAGATTTATAAACACTCTGTATGTTGCTAAGAAAGTTCACCATCTTTAAACAGAAAATAAGATACTCTGTTCTCTGGGAACACTGATGACAACTGAAGACACAGGCCATGGAACACTTCCTGTTGCCAAGTTCTTCACCTTTGCTTTAAGATGCAAAGGGAGCAGAGCAGGAATGTTACCCAACTTTCCAATGAACCTCCTGAGAAGGTTCTGAACCTGTCACTGAGGGTGGGGGTGAGTCACTGGGTACCCCTTTCTTCACTGTACATTCACAGAGGTAGTCTTTTTCATTTTAAAACTGAGATATGATTCACACAACATAAAATTCATTTTTAAAGTGTTCATTCACAAATCTGCACAACCACATCCATGATCTAATTCAAGAACACCTACAACAATGTACAAGCAACCCTGTACTCATTAGCAGCCACCCTCCATTCTTTTCTAGACCCTGACAACAACTTATTTCTCTCTACAGATCTGCCTATTCTGAATATTTCTTATAGAGCTACATCCCCAGCACCCAGTATGTTTTTCTTTTTTAATGGCTGAATAATATTCTAGTCATATATCACATTATTCATTCATAAGCTGATGAATTTTTTTACTACTATGAAAGTGCTGATACAAACATTATTGTATAGGTTTTTGTATAAGCATAGTTCTTTATTTCCTTGCATATATGTGTGTGTGTGTATATATATATATATATATATATATATATATAATATACATATATATTTATTTAATATATAATATTTAAATATTTTGTTTTAGTTGTAGTTGGACAAAATACCTTTATTTTTTTGAATTTTTATGTGGTGCCGAGGATCGAACTCAGTGCCCTGCACGTGCTAGGTGAGCACTTTACCAATGAGCCACAACCCCAGCCCCTCCTTGCATATTTTTTTTATTGGTGCACTAATAGAGTTTTCATTTCACCTAGGAATAGAACTGTTAGATCATATGGTAAGATTACTTTTACTTTTTGAGAAACTGCCCAGCTGTTTTTCACAGTGGATATAATAGTTAAAATTCCTATATCTCTGCAAACAATATAAATTCATTTTTAAAGTGTTCTAGTCTCAATGGTCTAAAACTTTACTTGAATCTCCTAATAGACAAATGGGTATGATGTCATTGTGGTTGAACCTAGGGCCTTGTGCATGTCATTATGGTTTTGTTTTGCATTTCCCTAACAACTAGTGATATTAAGCATCTTTTCACATGCTTATTGGTCACTTGAATCTTCTTTGGTGAATGCCTATTTAAATAATTTGCTCATTTGAAGCTGGGGTGCACAAATTCCCAACAAAAACCAAAAATTTCCCCGTTTATGACCTGAAAATACTTCCTCCTGTCTCACTGTCTTTTTACTTTCTTGCTGGGAACTCTGTAGCACAAAAGTTTTGAATTGAAGGGTTGAGGATGTAGATCAGTGGTAGTTTGCTTAACGTGTGCAAGGCTCTAGATTTATCCACAGGACCAAACACACACAGTTTTGTTTTTTTTAATATATATTTTTTAGTTGTAGATGGACACAATATCTTTATTTTTATCTTGTTTATTTTTTTCATGTGGTGCTGAGGATTAAACCCAGGGCCTTACGCATGCGAGGCAAGCGCTCTACCACTGAGCTACAACCTCAGCCCCAATACACACAGTTTTTAATTTGATAAAGTCAAATCCATCCTTTTTTCCTTTTTCTTTGGTTTGTTGCCTTAGATATGTACAGTCAATCATTGCTGATATAAAAATCCGAACTACTCTCAAAACTGACTGAGTAATACCACAAGTGGGAAACTTCATATTTAATCACATGTGATAGGTTGCAGTAAAAAGGCGGGAGTGCTAAAAATATTGTCAAAAATTACCTTTGCGCTATAAGTATAAGGTGCACATGAAAAAAAAAATTTGTTTAGATTTGAGTCTCATCTCCAAGATATTTCATCATGTATATACAAATATTCCAAAATCCAAAACCCTCTGGTCCCAGGATTTTGGATAAGAGATATTCAACTTGTATCCTTTAACAATGCCTAAAGTCATGAAAATCATTATTCTTTTTTTTTCCCCTGAAAGTTTTATACTTTTAACTCTTTGTTCCATTTAGTTAATTTTTATATATGATGTGAGGTAGGGGTTTGACTTCTTTCTTTCACAAGTGAGTAGAAAATTATTCCAGCATCACTTCTTGGGGGAAAAAACCCTTTCCTTATTGAATGATCTTATTACCCTTGTCAAAACAAATCAACCAACCCAGAGGGAAGGTTATTTGAGATCTTTTTCCTTTTTCTTTTTTGGTAGTAGGGATTAAACCCAAGGGCACTGAGCCATATCCCCAGACCTTTTTTAAATGTTTTGAGACAGGCAGGGCCTTGATAACTTGCTGAGGCTGGCCTGGAACTTGCTGTCCTCTTGCTTCAGCCTCCCCAGTGTCTGGGATTATAGGAACGCACCACCACATTTCTTTAAATTATAAAAACATTTCTTTAAATTATAAAAACATTTTTTTTTTTCCTTTTGTGACAGGGTCTCACTGTGTTGCTCAGGCTAGCCTTTAACTCCTGGGTTTAAGTGATTTTCCTGCCTCAATCTCTTGAGTAGCTGGGAAAAATCTTTTATTCACTATATATTATTATTACTATTTTGGTCTCCCTTGAACTTGTCATCCTCTGTCCTCAGTCTCCCAAGCTGCTGGGATTACATCATGTCTGTTCCCTTGTTATTTTACTTTATATTTTTGAGTAATTTTCTTAAAGTCTCAGGATTATAATTACCATCTCTAGTATAACTAATGCTAATTTAACGTTCCCTCATTCCTTTGTGCTATTATAATGTATAATTACATTTTTACATATTGGGTACACATCACCACCAATTTAGTTATAATTATTGTTTTATGTAGAAGTCTTTTAAATCAAATAGGAGAAAAAAGAGAAAAACAAAAAATGCATATATACTATCTCTCTTTAAAAAAAAAAGTTTACTTGTTGATGGACCTTTATTTATCTACATGCAGTGCCTATTTAGTTACATTTACTAGTGTTCTGTTTTTTCACATGGATATAAGTTATTATCTAATGTCCTTTAATACCAGCCCAAAGGTTCCCTTTATTCCTATAAGGATTGCCTACAACAAATTTTTTGTTCATCTGAGGAGATCTTAATTTCTCCTTAATTTCTGAAGGATAGTATTTTAGTACACAGAATTTTTGGCTGAGTCTTTTTCTTTCAGTATTTGAATATGTCATGCCAGGGTCTTCTGGTTGATATGGTTTCTAATGATAAATCATCTTCTGATCTTATTAAGGATTCTTTGTACATGATGAGTTGCTTCTCTCTTGCCGCTTTCAAGAGTCTATGGTTTTCAACAGTTTGGTTAGTATGTGTGTAGGTGTGGATTTCTTGAGTTTATTTCTTCAAATATTCCTCTACCCTTTTCTCCATCTTCTCTTTCCTTACTTCCAATTATGTGTTAGTATGGTTTATAGTGTTTCATAGGTCTCTGAGGCTCTGTTAATTTTGCTTTATCTTTTTTTTTGTGGTCTTCAGGAGATAATCTCAATTGACCTATCTTTGAGTTTGTCATTCTTTTTTTTTTTTAATTTTTTTAGTTGTAGATGGACACAATATTATTTTTTTTAATGTGATGCCGAGGATTGAACCCAGTACCTCACACATGCTAGGCAAGTGGTCTATCACTGAGCCACAACCCCAGTCTGAGTCTGTCATTCTTTATGTTGCATACTCAAATCTGTTGAGCCTCTCTAGAAAATTTCTCATTATAGTTATTGAACTTCTTAATTCCAGAATTTCTATTTGGTTATTTTTATAATTTATAATTTTATATTATATTTTTATAATTTATAATTTTAATAATTTATAATTTCTATCTCTTCAATGATATTATTTGTAAAACATCATTCTTACATTTTCTTTGGTAGAGCACTTGCCTAGAATGTGTGAGGCACTAGGTTTGATTCTCAGCACTGCACATAAATAAACAAATAATTGTGTCCATCCATAACTAAAAAAAAATATATATATATATATATTTAAAAAAAATAACATAGCAACTCTCTAAGACAGATGTGTGGCTCTGTGATCTATGTTCCTAATTATTGTGCTGTATTAGGAACTTCTATGGCCTAAGTATGTAGTAGAAGAGAGGAGGAATTTGTAGACTTACAGAGAGAGGAAAAAAATTACCCCCCAAATGTATATGAATGTTCTCTCTTTTGCTAAAAGGAAGTTTTGAGTACTATTGACCTTGCTGCAAGGTTTTGGAGATTTCTTTTTCTCTATCAATTTTTCATTGTTTTAGAGATAATATTCCACTGACTCCTCCAGCTAAGAGTCAGTGGTAACTTACTGGTTTGAAAGGCTGGTATCTGCAGGTCTCTGGCATGGTTAGGACTTTCAGCTGGGCAGGCATCACTCTCGCGGGGTTATCCAATAACTGGAAGTTTGGCTCAGGTTCTTTTTTTTTCTCTTTTTCTTCTTTTTTCTCTGCCTCATCCTAAGAGGGAAAGGGTGGAAAGCAGTTCAATAAAGGCTTACTTCTGTTCCACATCACTGAATAATGTTTACTGAGTAACTATTAGGAGCAAAAGGTAGTGGTAGACATAATGAAAGTACAACTAAAATGATACCAAACTCACATGAGGGAGGGAGAAAACTCTGTTTGGGGATGAGAATGTTTATTTAACTTGGGTTTAAAGGATGAGAAGTTTTTTTTTTAAAACAAACAGAAATCATAAAGAGAGAGTGCATTTATTTATTTATTTATTAGGTACCTGGGATTGATCTCAGGGGCACTCAACCATTGAGCCAAATCCCCAGTCCTTTTTTGTATTTTATTTAGAGGCAGGGTCTCACTGAGTTGCTTAGTGCCTTGTTTCTGCTGAAGCTAGCTTTCAACTTATGATCCTCCTGCTCAGCCTCCCAAGCCACTGGGATTATAAGCATGCACCACCATGCTGCAATAAGAGGGTCTATTTAAATATTATAATTGTTTCCCTGAAAGGGCCTTTTTGACTCCTACCAATATCTCATTTTCTGCTGAATAATCCTACTCTGTCCTTTAAAACCTTTTTTAATTGTCATTTTCTCTAGGAACTCCTTCTTTCCTGATTTGTATGCTTCTAAGTTTCCTAAAAATAGATAGTTTCTAGAGGCTTATAAGTATATATAATTCTATATGCTGGAAACAGGATGGTTATTTGAAAGAAGTTAAGAATAAGATAATAATGTTCAACTAAGGAAGAATCTGGACCACAGATGACCACTTACCACTTCCATTTTCTCCTCCTCCTTTTTTTCCTTTTCTTTTTCCTTCTTTTTAGCCTTGGCAGTGATAGATAATACAGCAGTGGAAACCTAGAGAAAGTGAACAGGGTAAATTGTTGTAATCTTACCAATATACAATCATGTAAGCCCAAAGAGAACTCAGTCCTATAATACTTTCCTGTTTCCTGGCAGTATGTATTATAAAGAACAAAATATCAGAGAATAAATGTGAAAAGCAAGCGGGACACTATTAGCATAATTTACTACGTTCATCACCAGGTGACTCTTTAGCTCTTGGAGGTGACGTCCAACATAACTTTATTTTTTTCTGATTCATATCCTGGATATGAATCCGTTGTTATTTATTTCTGAAAGCGATCTATATCTTTCTTGCTTTAAAGGGAAAACATAAAATTTCCTCTCTTCCAGTTTTGTTTCAGACCCAAAAAGAGGGGGTGGGAGGAGGTCTGAAGGAGCTGATGTAACAAAATGTTATTGCTAAAGGATATTCGTTACCTGTCACCCACAAATGTGCGAATTATATAATTACCCTACTTACTCACAGAATTTATGGCAAATAATCAACAACTGGCTAATATGGAAACATTAATCTGAAACAAAGAATGACTTTCCTATACATAAGATGTCATAAAAAGATAATTTTGCTCAATAAAACTTGACAGGCAAATGTAACGTATTTAGAGATTTATCAATGAGTGCAAACACCATCGGTAAGAATACAATTTGGTGGTATCTATTTTGAAAGGCAAATTAGCTAATATCTATATAAATAAATAACATGTGTTATTTTGATCAAACCATTTTGCATCTAAGATTCAAACCAATAGATTTACTTGCACAAGTATTATATGTGTAGTCTTTTATCCTAGCCTTATCTGTGTAGTGACAAATTATGAATAACCTTAAAAGGACATCAAATAAAGAACTATAAAACAGGTGGCACATACATAAAAGCACTGCTCTAAAGCTTTGGGGAAAAAAATTAAATCTTTATACATTGAAAGCATTAAAGATATATTGTTGAAGTGAAAAAAATAATATGTAAAACCGCATTCAGAGAATGATTCCATTTGTTGTGTAAAAAAAGTTCTGAATGTGCACATAAATTTTCATAGAGATTCACAAGTTGTGACTATCTAGGACTTGGCTCTTGATGTGGGGCTTGATGATCAAGAGAAGGAAAGAGTTTTTACTTTATATTCTTGTGTAATTTAGACTTTAACATGTTATTTTAAAAACATAAGTCATTTAAAACAAACCCAACTGAAATATTCATGTCCTCTATAGGAACAAATGCTACTCAAAGGAACAAGGAACTCACCTTTTCTTTTTCTTTTTCTTTTGGTACTTCCAGAGGGGCAGGATATGCAAACGTGGATGGTTTACAGTTGGATTTATATTGAACTTTTGGCATCTGAAGGAAAAAAAAAGAACTTTTTGCTCCCTCCATTAAAATAATCACTATTAAGATTTAAGTATTCTATGTTTTTAACAAGCATTCAGGTGCAAGGGACACCAGGAGTTTCCATATAAATTTCAATTACGGATCTAATCAATGTGGTCACCTCTCTCTGAAAGGTGTGTTTTCTTTCTGTAATTTAACATCCTATGTAATCTTTTTTTTTTTTTTGTACTGGGAATTGAACCTAGGGGCACTTTACCACTGAGCTATGGTCTCCAGTCCTAAATTAGTTTTAAGGTGCTTTTACAGAATTATCTGCATTTTCCTTTACATTCCTGAAGCTCTGTGCCTTCTTTCCTGACATTCTGCCCTGCTTCAGTGGGTTAATTAACAGATCAGATGTTACTTCCTTTGTAAAGTGTGTCTACCACCAAACTTCATGCCACCAAACATTCATGTTCCCTTCTTGCACTGCACTGACAACTAACCCAAGTCTACAGACAGTTTCCACACCATATAATTATGGCTTATAAATCTACATGTGCCTAATGGCAAGTTAGCTATCTATTACCTACTGAGCAGATTGAAAGTTCTCTAGCCTACACTTTTCTCTATTACTTAATTTGTATCAATGGAAAATGGTAATGAGCACCTTGTTTACTAGGACAAGGAACCTTATCTTTTCCATTCTGCTTTCACTGTAAAGAATTAAAACAGAGGGCTGGGGATGTGGCTCAAGCGGTAGCGCGCTCGCCTGGCATGCGTGCGGCCCGGGTTTGATCCTCAGCACCACATACCAACAAAGATGTTGTGTCTGCCGATAACTAAAAAATAAAATATTAAAAAAAAAAAAAGAATTAAAACAGAGCCAGGTGTGGTGGCAGAGGCCTGTAATCCCAATAACTCTAGAGGCTGAGACAGGAGAATCGCATTGGGTTAACCTCATCAATTTAGCAAGACCCTATTTCAAAATAAAAAATAAAAAGGACTGGGAACCATAGCTCAGTGGTAAAGTGCCCCTAGGTTCAATACCCACTACAAAAAAAAAAAAAAAAAAAAGACTACATAGAATATTAAATTACAGTGTTAAAAGTTAGGGATTGGGGAAACCAAATAATTCTTGTTTTGAGAAATAAAAATTTAAAATGTTTACAAACATAAGCACTTTTAGTACCAAAACACTTGATGAAGGATAACTGGCTATACAGCTATGCTGAAAAAAATCAATAAAATGAAATACTCAATCAGCCAATTTTTAGCCTAAAAAACTTTCCACTCTGAAAATTTAATGGAACATTTTAACAATAGTAATGACCAGATGTCATTGTTTAAAGGTTAAAAGCCCTTGACCTTTAAAGAAGAACAAGATGAATCATTAGGTCACAGGACTGAGAAAAGACCTAAACACCATTAGGAATATGATTAAAAATGTGATGACAAAGCATGAAGGACCTTAAGTCTTTGACCTGATTCATTTTGTCAGATTTCTGGATTCCTCGCTATTGGTTTTATTTTCTGCCACTACCAAAGGGACAGCCTCCTATTTTGCTTTTCCTTGTAGCATAATTCTTTCTTCCATCTGTCAGTCTAGTATCATATAACTCTGCAATGTGTACTTGTTTCCATCCTTCATTGCTTATTGATATTAAAAACTTAGTTTAGAGCTGGGTGTGGTGGCGCACGCCTGTAATCCCAGTGGTTCGGGGAGCTGAGGCAGGAGGACCAAGAATTCAAAGCCAGCCTCAGTAAGAGCAAAGCGCTAAGCAACTCAGTGACTCCCAGTCTCTAAATAAAATACAAAATAGGGCTGGGAATGTGGCTCAGTGGTTGAGTTTTCCTGAGTTCTATCCCTGGAACCACAAACAAACAAACAAACAAAATTTAAAAAAGAATTTAAAAAAAGAAAAAATAAAATAAATTTTTAAAAGATTTAGTTTAGGTCCTTATTCTTCCTTACACAGGTTATTATGCCAGAGGTTTCCACTGATTCCAGAATGACCTTCCTTCCTTCCCCTTTCTCTTGCGGTAGTGTAGATTGAACTCAAAGAGTTTTACACTTAAGGAAAGCACTCTATCACTGAGCTATGTCCCTAGCCCTCAGAAAGAGTTCTCTAAAATACAAACCTCATTTCATTTATCTATATAAAATCCTTCAACAGCGTCTGTAGTCTTTATTAAACCAATCACTCAGTGATCTATAAAGTCTCTTCCTAACTTTGTATTATGCCCCCTCTTAACATTTGATTATTTTATTATTTTATGTATGTATGTATGTTGCAGATGGACATGATACCTTTTTTAAATTTAACTTTATGTGGTGCTGAGACTCGAACCCAGGGTCTCACACATGCGAGACGAGTGCTCTACCACTGAGCCAAAGCCCCAGCCCCAACATTTGATTTTTATACCTCCTACTGACACACTCCACTTGATGCAGTGATGACTCAACTTGAAGGGAAGACATGCTACAGATGAAATGCTAACTCATCTTTAAAATTTCATGGGGAGGGAAAGAGAGAGAGAAGGGAAATTGCATGGTAAAGGAAGGAGACCCTCATTGTTATAAAAAATTAAGTATAAGAGGAAGTGAGGGGAAAGGGAAAAAAAAAACGAGAGAGAAATGAATTACAGTAGATGGGGTAGAGAGAGAAGATGGGAGGGGAGGGGGGATAGTAGAGGATAGGAAGGGCAGCAGAATACAATAGACACTAGTATGGCAGCATGTAAAAAAGTGGATGTGTAACTGATGTGATTCTGCAATCTGTATATGGGGTAAAAATGGGAGTTCATAATCTGCTTGAATCAAATGTATGAAATATGATATGTCAAGAGCTTTGTAATGTTTTGAACAACTAATAATAATAAAAAAAAATTAAAAAATTTAAAAAAATAAAATTTCATGGGAACCCTTATGAGTGGGTGGTGGATATGAACAGGATACACCATAAAGCTGAGGTTTCAAAAACATACCTTTAAGTCCTTGTTAAGGCCAATGACACAGGTAGGAGTATAAGCCAATGACAGGAAGTGTGAAAGAGGAAACCAGAACCAGAACTGGGTAAAGACAAGGACACCAACCACAGAAGGCATATGAGTGTGCCCAGTCCTGGACTGTAGAGAGATTGTGACATTATGACCACCTGCAGAAAAAAAGAGAGAAATCATGAATAGCAATCCAGCAGGGCAATAACAAAAACTTCAACAAATTACTTCTAACTATTGCACTAGGGAAACATCTGATTATTATACTTTAAGAGGACACAGGGCAAATCTAGAACTTCCTTCTCTACAGGCATATATATTATTTTTTATTTATTTTTTAGTTGTAGTTGGACACAATACCTTTATTTTATTTATTATTTTTATGTGGGGCTAGGATCGAACCCAGGGCCCTGTATGTTAGCCAGGTGCTCTATCATTGAATCACAACCCCAGCCCTACAGGCACATAGTTTTAAAAAGTAAACCTGAGGGGCTGGGTGGAAGACACACAAGTGGGAGAGTGTCAGTAGGAGTTGTAAAAATCAGTGGTAGACTGCTCGCCTAGCACCTGTGAGGCACTGGATTCTATTCTCAGCACCACATTAAAAAATAAAATAAAATAAAGATATTGTGTCCATCTACAATTAAAAATATTAAAAAAAATAAGCCTGAGCTGAGTGTGGTGGCACACACTTATAATTCCAGCAACTCAGGAGGCTGAGGCTGGAGGATGGCAAATTCGAGGCCAGACTCAGCATTTTAAGACTCTATCTCAAAAACAAAAACATCTACTTCTTGCTAAAAACAAAAATAAAACAACACAGAACTGAGATGTAAACTTTTCAATTATACATAACATATGCTATAAAAATGGGACTTGTCTGTGCCTACTCAGGATCCTAATTTGACTTCCAGGGCTGAATTTGTGTTGTTTTCAAGTTATGTCTTTTAATTATAGCACTAAATTAAATAGCATTTAATTACATTTAATTTTCATAAGAATCAAGAGTCTACAGTTCACCCAAATAACTGGGATCTTCTTAATATTCTACTATAAGCCATTCATTTTAAAACATGGCCTAAGTTGCTGAGGCTGGCCTTGAACTTGTGATCCTCCTGCTTCAGCTTCCCCAGTCATTGGAAATACAGGCATGTGCATTCACCCTCAGCTTATTTAAGATTTTTTTTTTTTTAAAGACATACTTAAAATTTGCGTTGGGCTTACCCATAATCCCAGCAGCTTGAAAGGCTGAGGCAGAAGGATCACAAATTCAAAGCTAGCCTCAGCAACTTAGCAAGGCCCTAAGCAATTTAGCAAAACCCTGTCTCAAAAGAAAAATAAAAGGGGCTAGGGATATGGCTAAGTGGTTGAGTGTCTCTGAGTTTAATCCCTTGTACAAGAAAAAATTATTTTCGTTTTCTATAGTTATATACATTTATTATCTGGTTATTTTCTCCTTACTTATCCCACATTCACTGAATGCTTACTCTCTACTGAGAAATGTGCACAAAATACTGAAAAAGATCTCGAAGAGCCTTTGGTCTAGTGCAAAAGACAGGTAAACAGGTAATATAAAATAAGACACATGCACTGTGATGCTGTGAACTGGGCGCTGCTGAGAAGAAGCTAAGCCGATAACTCGCGGGTGAGGGACAGGACAGAGGAGAGGGAGAGGCTGCAGGGAGCCTGAGCCATTTGAAGGTTTGAAGCCGACTTTCCTCATCACAGTGAAATCTACCGTCTTCAGACTTAGAGACTAAACTAGCTTTTTGTTCTAACATTCTGAGACTCAATAAATCAGAGTTTATCTTATTGATTGTAATAACAGTTTAACATACTTCAATAATAAAACTTCTTAATTTTCAGCTTTTCTCCCTAAAGATACCAAAAAAGTGTGTTCTCATAAATGTCGTTCCCTGGAAGGTGTCCTCTCCAGCTCTTCTCTACCACTACTAATTTTTACTGAGATCAGGCATGAGGCAAGTTTTTTCTAATGCAGTTATATAACATTGTTTTACTTAAGAATAAGATGTTAAAAAATAGATACAAAAATAATTTCAGGTACTTTATAACACTAAGTACCCCAAGCAAAAAACATTATAATTAAAAAGAAATCAAAAGAAGCATCAAAATTTGACTGGTCCATGACACAGCAAATAGAACAGGGCTGAAAGAGAAAGGAAGGTGGGAAAACCAGAGAAATATCTTTCAATAATGGTGATAGAAAAATATAGCTGAACACAGAATTCTCCTCCTCCTTATTTTTAAAACTAGGGATTGAACCCAGGGTGCTCTGGGCTACATCCCCAGCCCATTTAAGTTATTTAAAAAATTTTTTTAGTTGTAGACAGACTTTATTTATTTATTTATTTATGTGTGTGTGTATGTATGTATGTATGTATGTGGTGCTGAGAATCGAACCCAGGGCCTCATGTTGTGTGTGGCAAGTGCTCTACCATTCTAAGCTACAACCCCAGCCCTCATTTTATTTTTGAGAAACAAGTTGCTAAGGCTGGCCTCAAATTTGTGATCCTTCTGCCTCCACCTCTTGAGTCACTGTTACAGGCATATGCAACTGAACCTGTGCCCCCCTCAAATTCTTAACAAATAATTATTACAGAAAAAGCCAGGAAAAATCTGTAGTGCTTAATGAACAAGTCAAGGGTTGCAGTCTAAAAAAATATAAACTTCATAAAGTGGCAGCTAAAAGAAAAAAGATTAGAGTAGTAAAATGTTACTTCTAAATCCTGATTTAAAAATTCATTACCAAAAAGCTAATTTGAAAAGGCTATATGTTGTATGATTCCAACTACATGATAGTCTAAAAAAGACAGAATTATGGATTCAGGGCTGGGGATACAGCTAGGTGATATAGCACTTGCCTAGCATGCACAAGGTACTAGGCTCCATTCTCAGTACAATAACAACCACAAAACAAAAACCCAAAAATCTTCCTATGGATATAGTTCAGTTAGACAGTATAAATATATTCAGGAGATATACAGCATGGTGAAATGAATATCAGCTTGATTTAATTGTTGTATAACATACACATATCAAAACATCATGTGAATACCTTATAAATACATACAATTTCTAGCTGCCAACTATACCTAAATAAAAACAGAATTTTAAAAAAGATACAGCATGAAAAGGTGACATCAATTTTGATTCCACAGATATTGAAAAAAACAAAAGAATATTATGAAAAGTTTTCTCTCCATAAATTCTAAGCTGCATTTAAAACTAAAGGGTGGGGCCTGGCGTGGTGGCACATCCTGTAATCCCAACAGCTCGGGAGGCTGAGACAGGAGGATCACAAGTTCAAAGGCAGCCTCAGCAAAAGTGAGGTGCTAAGCAACCCAGTGAGACCCTGTCTTTAAATAAAATACAAAATAGGGCTGGAGATGTGGCTCAGTGGTCGAATGCACCCGAGTTCAATCCCCAGAACCAAAAAAAGGTGGGAGGCCTAGCTCAGTTTAAGAGCAAGGCCCTGGCTTCTATCCCCAGCACTGAATAAATGAATAAATACTGAACCCAAACAAATCACAACAAAACTATAGGGACAGTAAAAAGGTCAGTGGTTACCAGGGGCTTGCGAGGAGAGATAACAGGTGGAGCACAGGGGATTTTTCAGGAAATGAAACTATTCTTTATGGCATTATTATCATATATACAAGTCATTAAACATTGTTGAAATTCACAAAGTGTGTATAATACAAAGAGTGAACTCTAACATAAACTAGGGACTTTAGTCAATAATAATGTATCAATATTGATTCTGCAATTAGCACCCACTAATGAACAGGGAAGCTGGACAGGGACATGGGGACACATGGGAAACTGTACTTTCTGTTCAAATATTTCTATAATCGACAAATTTAAAAAGATAAATAATTAAAAATTAATTGCTGATAAAACCAAGAAAATTAAGTGTTGATAGTTGGTAAAACTCAGACATGAAAACAATAAAAGAAATGGTGGTAAACAACAAATCCATTAAAATATGGAACTAAGACCATGTACAACTATAAGAAATTATGATTTCTGAATGCAATATAAAATAAAAAATATTGGTAGGCAGTAAAGAATGAGGAGGAAAAACTATGAGCTATTAATGTCTTCACTGTTTATACATGAGAATCAATACTATGATAAATCTAGCTGCAAGGAAATGTGTGTAAATTAAAGAGAGAAAAAGAAGTTTACTTCTACATTAAAAGCTTAAGCAGAAAACTCTTCTTAGTGAAAAAAAGAAACAAAAAAAACCACAATTGGACAGAGGGATTAAAAGAGAACATTTATTTCAAAAGTTTAGGAAAAAAGCACCAAAGTCCTAAGATGAAAGCAAATAATAAAGAGCAAAAATAAAGAATTAAGGGGAAAAAATGGTTGAATAAATGCAAAAATTAAAAAAAACTGACTAATTAGCAAAAATAAAATAAACCAAATTAGAAAAGAAATTATTTTTAAAAAAGACCATATATCAAAAATGATAAAAGAACTCTGAAAACTATATGATAAAAACATTCTCAGCAAGCAGAACTCCCAAGAAATTAGTAACATAAAATTAGACAATTTTATCAAAAAATCAGTTTCTTTTTTGATCTTCTTCACTACAAATATATACACATTCCTAGTTGAGTGAGAAAAGAATGGCTTTAACAAATATGGCTAAGGGCTGGGGGTATACCTCAGTGTTGAAGTCTGGCTCAGCATTCATGAGACCCTGGATTCAAAATGCAGTACCAAAAAACACCCCCAAACAAACCCCACAAATATGGCTGAGTGTTTTTATTAGAAGAAACAGATGGGTAATATATATATGAAAAAAATGATCCCCTAATAATAGCATTGCTATAAAGACCCTGAGATGCTGTAACTTACCTTTCAAATTAACAAAAAAATTATTTAAGAGTATAAGAAAAATACTTACATGTGAACAATACAGTAGGTATATGCTCTTTTCTTTTTACCTTACTGAGATGGCACCAATAATAAAATTAAGGAATATAGCAAATGAACCAAGTCTAAGTTACTGATGGACACTATCTTTTGAAATAAGCCACAATATAATGGTGAAGAATGTGAATTCTGGAGACAGATTTGCACAGAGTGCTGAGTATTTATTAGGCAAATGTTCCCCGTATTTTATTTTAGGAGTGATTCTGGCTTTTAAAATTTGTCTAAAACATAATCTTTTCCTCAAATATTTTTTCAATGTCAACTTGTTTAAAACATGTATTAAAAACATCAGCCAACACTCCCTGGGTACTTTATACATGACAAGCACTGTTCTAATTGCTTTCTCTGTATTTTTAATCTTTCTAACATTATGAGAAAGATTTTACAAGATAAGCAAGCAGAAACAGGGAAACAACTCTACAAACTTACATAGCTATTATGTAAAGGATAGGATTCAACTTTTAACAACTCTATTAAAATTATCTATGAATGTCAGACTCCAATTTTCTCCAGAAATAATTTGCCTCAAACTGAATTTCTACTGTCACATAGCTAGATTTGGTATAAATTAATCAACCAACCAATCTGGAAGACTTAAAAACATTTACCTGCATCCAGTATTCCCTGGGCCAGAATAGCGCCAAACTTGGCCATGACATCATCATGCTTATCATTGATGACTTTGGAATACAGCTGTCTGAACTGATTCACCTAAATAAGCAAGACAAAGAATTATCATCTAATTCTAGTATTTGCTGTTCCATGTTAGACAAGTCAATCAATTGCTGAAACAATAATGAGCTTTGAGTTTCACAACATTAGAAAAGAAAGAGAAATGGACCAGAAGTAAAGGCTGTGAACAGTTTCCTGCTAGAAACCACGGGTTCTATGACTTCTTTGCTATGGTATGGGAGCACTGGTTCTGTTTTCAATCCTCATTCCACAGTGGATGAATCAGGCTGAAAGGATTGCTGAATGCAATTTCATTCTGTAACACTTTTAGTCAACAGGCCTAAACAATCCAAGCTAATACTAAAGCTTTCATTGCACTTTGAATTACAGCTATGCTGCTTACCATCAACCCTGAAGATTTCCTAACAGGCATAGTACTTCAGTTCCAGCTTAAAGTAAACTATCCTTCACCAAGGCTGTGTGAGGTAAATAAATATATTCACATAGTCAGTAAAGATTTCATTATGCTGGGGCTAGGATTTGGTTCAGCAGTAGAATGTTTGCCTATCATGTGTGAGGCACTGGGTTCGAGCCTCAGCACCACAAAAAGATAAATAAATAAAGGTATTGTCCATCTACAACTTTAAAAAAACAAACAAACAAACAAAAAAAAAAAAACAAAAAAACTTTCATTATGTACACATTTTCTGAGGACTTGTCAGAATCAGCATTCTTATCAAAAGGAACATACCAAAACAGAAAATGTGCTGACTCATTTATGCAGAGATTACTGGTATTTTGGTTTGCTTCTTTATGTTTTTCTGCATTGTCTAAAATTAATACGTTTTACTTTTATAATTAAAATAAAATTTATAAAATATCTTTATGAATAAAGTAAGCGATTGGCTGGGTGGCGATAAAAAAAACTATTTTATACTTCCTCCAAGTCTAACACTTCTCTGTTTTCCCAACAGTGATTTTCAAATGGTAGGTCCCCAGGAAAAAGTCAGCTCGTTCAAAAACTCATGGAGCTCCCCATATCTGCCCAAAGCATAAAATATCAAATTTGAGTTTCCTAATATAATGATTTCACCTGCATTACACATTCTTTCAGAATCTCTTCCCCTCTTCATCTGTCTTGGTTTGAGATGCCACACTGTGATACAGTGAGAGAGTAACAGAACCAGACAACCTTGGCTTATGAATATTTCTGTTCTTTTAAGTTTCTTAGATAAATTACTAGCTTTTATGAGTATTAGTTTCTTCATCTGTAGGGGATTGTAGCATTTATCTTTCCGAACTCTTGTAAAGACTACATAACATATATGTCATGTGATATGTAGAAGGTATTTCAAATTTCAATAAGCATGTCTGTCTTCCAAATGGGGTCAGAATCCTACTGGTCCTCCTACTTCTTTAATTTTTTTTTTTTCTTCCCAGTTCTAGAATTGAACCTAGAGCCTCTTGTATGCTAGGCAAGTGGTCTACAACTGAGCTACTTCCACAGCTTTTTAAATTTTATTTTGAGATAGTATCTCACTAAGTTGCCAAGCTTGGGATCCTGTTGCCTTAGCTTCCTAAGTTGCTGGAATTACAAGCATGAGCCACCATACCTAGCCACTAATCCTTCTCCACTGTTGTCTCTACAATCTAAATACTGCTAAAAAATAATGTTTCTTAAACACAGTCCTCATTTTTTATTCATAGCCTACAAAAAATAATAATAGTGAAAAAAATATCCTAGCATATGACCATTTTAAAGTCAATTCTCTAAGCCTTAACTTTATAAAACTCAGCATGATTAAATCATCACAAAATTCCCTTCTTGTTTTAAAAATCCTGAAGTTTGATGCTTTTACTCTGGTTCAACAGGTCAAATTCCTTCGATTCTGAACTTATTTTAGATGAACACTTACATTACCTTATATAGGATGGAAATTTTATGTGCTAAAGGTTTATGAAATATTTCATGAACTTACAAAAAGAAACACTGGACAAAGCACTGTATGTACATTACAGAAGAGAATCTGAATATAAAATTGTATCCACAACAGGAAATCATTCAGTATAATTTAAAAATGTATTTTTAAGTTAATGTAAACATATACTAGACTTATTCAGTTAATATTAATTCTTTAAAAAAGCTACGTTTGGAGGCTGGGGTTGTGGCTCAGTGGTAGAGTGCTCGCCTAGCATAGGTGAGGCCCTGGGTTCAATATTCAGCACCACATAAAAAAATAAAATATAGTGTCCATCTAAAACTAAAAGATAAAAATTTAAACGGTGGGCAGTGAGGATGTGGCTCAGGGGTTAAGTGTTTCTGGGTTTAATCCCTGGTACAAAAGAAAAAAAAATTCACTTTATTTCCTTATTTTTATTATTATAGTTCTTGGTAAAGAATCATTATTTGAGTAAGTGTCTTAAATTTGAAAGACAATTTAAAACACCTTGTCTATTCTCTCTGTTTTAGGTAAGGTAAACAACTTGCTTGCTGCCCATCACAATTAAGTAGTGGCAATCAGGGTGAGGATCATGGTTTTCTAACTCAAATTTCATCAAGAACAGTATATGCCCTCCTCCAAAAGAAAGATAATTTGTAGGAGAAAATAATATTAAGTTTCCATTTTATAATATGATAAACCCAAAAAGGCAATTAAAATCTTAGGCTACTCTGTGATCTAGGCGTGTGATTGTATATGAATCCACCTTCTCTAAAATCATGCATTTTAAATATTTATCATATTCTAAACTCTATATGATAAATACTGCTGGGAAAAAATTCTACTCTTAGATGTCAGGGAGAAAGGAATAAGTTCTTCAGGGTCATTTCTGATGAATCATGATGTCCCTAAAAAGTATAAATCTATCCAAACCACAATTAATTTTACAACTGCAGAAGCTTACCAAGCTTGGCTAAACATAATCTTACTTCCAAAAATGGTACTTGTCAATGGCAGGAGAAGCTTCCCTAGGTCAAAAATAGGCCAGGTGATCTCAGACAAGATCCCTCTCTTACATTAATTTTTTTTTTTTTTTTTTTTTTGGTACTGGGGATTTTAACCATTTTAAAGTGTGTATTTCAGTAGTGTGAAGTAGTATGATGTACATTTACATTTTGGGGCCTTACTTGTCTTTTTTTTTTTTGGTACTTGGGATTGAACTCAGGGACACTTGACTACTGAGTCACATCCCCAGCCCTTATTTTGTATTTTATTTAAAGACAGGGTCTCACTGAGTTGCTTAGTGCCTCCCCATTGCTGAGGCTGGCTTTGAACTCATGATCCTCCTGCCTCAGTGTCCCAAATTGCTGGGATTACAAACATGCGACACTGCACCCAGCTTAAATTAATTTTTAAGTCTGATTTTATACATGATATTTAATATGTACCTGTTCAAATAATTGCTAAAGATGGGTTTCATTTAACAAGAAAAACAAGATAGATGCTTCATAAAGAGGAAAGTTGGATTCCTGAGAGAATCTAATTCCAAGAACCTACAAAAAAATACTATTCTAGTTAAATGTGAACCTCTAAGAGCTTTCTAAATAGAGTTTTTAACAATCCAGGACTGTGTACATGTTCCCGGGTCTACATTTGTATGAGTCATGGAAAACTTATATAAGTAAAGCAAAGATTTACTGGAGTTACTGAAACTAAGGCCACAATGTGTAGAGCTAAGTGTTAGGTATGTGACATATACTAATGATTTTACAAAACATTTCCTTTGGAATTTTTTCCCATTGTGAATCTCACAACATATCTAAGAAATTTCTCTTCTGTTTTCCTTTCACAGGAGACAGGGGATGTTATCATTTTTGGTGAAGTTAACACCTGATCTTTGCTTCTCAGCAGTTTCTACTTCATTTCATGAACTGCTTTGCAAATCTCCAAGTAGGACTCCAGAGACTTGAGAATTAAGCCCTCTTCAGAGGTTAACAGCTTTTCCTTCTGGACAAAATATGCCAAACCACCCTCAAGAATATCAATTTTGTCTTGTTGGCAATTATCAGATAAAGCAAAGATGGTAATAATGGTAGTACAAGAAGTTTTTTATCACTTGTTTAATAACAGAAAACAATGAAACAGAGCTTAAACTTTAGCTGAATGACAACTTTACTCTAGGGGGTAGTGTTTCCTGAAACAACGTTGAGTTTTACACTATCATACATAGTTTTGTCTTTGTAGTCAGTAGTGTAACACATTTACATTTGCCTACCCAGTTTATATTAATGGCCATGGTTACATCAGTTCATTTCTACACTCCTAATCAGTACCCCAGATTTTGATACAACCTGAAGATAGGAGTGTGCCCCATGTATTCACACCAGCTAAGGTCAATCTACTTAAAGAGAGCAATATAACTTGGAATGATTAAAAATATTAATTATTTAAATTGCTGTACCTTTTCCCTTTTTTCTTTCATTCTTTTTTTGGGGTGTAGGTGTGGGCATTGGGGATGGAACCTTGGGCTTTATCTATGCTAGGCAAGTGCTCTTCCATTGAGAGATACACCTAAACCTCTTTTCACTTTTCTAAATGTGAAATTTAAGACTGAAATGCTTTTCCAAACTAAACAATCTACCTGCAAAGGATTCTGATATTGTTGGTATCTGGGTTATACATACAAAAAAATCAAGGAAATCCTACAACAAGGATGGGAAGATAGTAAAACATTTGTTGACAATACAAGTAACTTGAAAGCAACACATGAAGTCAAAGTGAAAAGATATCTCTCTGTGATTGAGGAGGTGCGGTCCATGGCTTAAACTTGCTTCTTTAATGACATTCCTCAGTTGGACAACCTCCAAAATTTCAACAGCAGATCAAAAGCAGAAATAAAAGCTACTCATAGCCTCTATATTTAAAAAGAAAAAGAAATGTGGTCTGTGTTTGGAAAGATGTTTATGGCTCTAGAAGATAACAGTATATTAAGCAGTACATTATAAAATAGGATGAGAGGTCAGATCCTATCTATGCTTAATATGATGTGAAAATCACAGTAAGTGTTTAGAATCTGAAATTTATTTTAAAAAGTTCTATAAAGTTAGAATGAATAACCAATCTATTCTGGATATTCTTTTCCATCTCTCCAAACTTAATTTGCTGAAAATGAGGTTGTTCTATATCTGCTTGAAAACAGAAAGGCAGAAAACAGAAAGGCAACTGTTTACTTCTGTTACCAATTTTTTAACCTCATATACAAGCAGAACATAAGGTTGTTAAAAGCTCTTTTGAGTTAACATAGTTCTAGCTAGCATCAAATATGGTAATTTTGGTACATGCAAATAAGTTACATGCATTTTGTATTTCTAAACAGGATGGGAAGTTTCGGCTGAAGCAATAGGATACATTAAATATCAAACACTAAAATTAAGTTTATAAGACTGTCATATGGAAACTTTTAAACAGATGTCTTAAAATTTGTTATGGAAGTCACCTGAAGATGGTTTCTTAGGGAAGTTGGATGGTGAATCTTTCTCCCACACCAAGTCTAGAAAAAGGGGCTTCAGAGGGATCTCTTAGAGCACTCAATACTTCAGGGGTCATTATGCACTGATGTCTGAGAGTGAGAGGCACTAGTACTGTCAGCTTAATGCATTCCCACCCCCAAGAAGGGCAAAATACACAAGTGTTTCTATAAAGCAGAAGGCATCAAGTGGGAAAGAAAGCCATCTTGTAGCCATCTGAAAACCTTGCCCAAGATCACCTTGAAGGGCAATGACAGTCCACACAGAATATGAACATACTTTTATTTATTTTTTTTGGAACTGAGGATTGGACCCCAGGGTTGCTTTTACCACTTACCCACACCCTCAGCCTTTCCTATTTTTTTATTTTGAGACAGGTTCTTGTAAAGTTGCTGAGGCTGGCCTCAAATTTGTAATCCTCCTGGAATTACAAGTGTGCACCACCACATTTGGTTGGGCATACTTTTTATTATTGTTATTATTGTTTTGTAGTGCTGGGGATTGAACCCATTCGAGGCAAGCACTCTACCAACTGAGCTATATCCCCAGCCCTGGGCATACTTATTTTTAAACTGAGATTATACGTAACAAATAAAGTGATGCTAGGATTTTTTATTACCCTAGAAGGATGGGTCAGAAAAGTCATGGACTTAAATTTGCATTCTGTGTCAGAGTAATGAGTCATCCCAATGGAAAAAAAAAATTAAAGAACAGTGAGAGGTACCCTCCTCCCCAAAAAGAGAGAAAATAATATATATTTAAAGTTTTCCTCTTTACTTCCTGTGACTTCAGTATTCACCATATTTGAAGTTAAAATGTTCTTAGAGGAAGGAAAGTCACTAAAGAAAAGTCCAAATCAGCTCTTTTCCTTTTGCAGAGAATTTCTTTGTTTGCTCACCTTGGGACAAGTGATTTCAGTCTGCTGGATCATGATGAGGGCGGAAGCTATGAGAGCCCCTTGTCTCACATAATTCACAGGGTCATTTGTCATTGGTTCTAGCAAATTAATTGCTTCCTGAAAGCATTAAAAATAACAACTTTAAACTGATATAGCCAGATTTTCAGATTAATTACAATCACTCTAAGTCAGTATTTTCATCTAACAGGGTAGTAATAATTTAAGACTACCTGAACAAAATAAGTCAGAACTGAGTGTCTATAAGTTTCAACATAATTGATCATAAGTGAAAAGAAAGCTTTAGAACCTGGGTGTTCGTGTCTTAAGTAAACAAATTGTAAAGAAATTACGAGAAAAATTATTTAGAGGGCATTAACATTTGTTAAGAACCCATTATTTTTTAGGCATAGTACTAGATATTTTATATATTCCAAACCATATAATCCAATTAATACTCAAAACAAAAAACCAACAACCAACACAAAACAATATTTAAGAACAAAGAAACCAAGAGTTTAAAATGTTAAGAAACTTGCCCAGAGTCGTCGCACGGTTATCAAACCCAGGCCAGTGTGGCTCCAAAAATGCATATTTTATTTTATTTTATATATATATATATAAATTCAACCTCCTTCAAATACTAAAATCTTATGTGAAAGGTAGTAACAGATAATTTTACATGACCTAATTTTAAAAATTAAATCAAAACAAACAAAACCACACAAGAAACAACACAAACAAGAAAGATTTTACTTAGAATGGCAAAACAAATTAAACAGACCAGAAAGGATTTCATGACACTACTTTAAAAAAAAAAAAAAAAAAATTATTTTTTTAGGTGTAGATGGACACAACATATTGCCTTTATTTTTATGTGGTGCTGAGAATCAAACCCGGGTCCTGCCCATGCAAGGTGAGCGCTCTACCTCTGAGCCACAATCCCAGCCCTCATGATACTACTTCTTAAGATCAAAGGTAACGGGATTTTCCAAACTGTTACCAGTATTTCCCAAATAATATATTCTTCAGTATACTGATTTTACGAAAAAAGGATTCTTTGGCTAAATAAGTGGGATGACATATATAACCTCCTCTTGCAGACTCAAAATGTAACATGGTATCAAAGGCTCTAAGCATGTGCATACCACAAGGCTTTAACACAACTTAAATCAAGAAACTACACACTTTGTCTCAGCATTTGTCCACTGTTCTTGACCATGAACTTGTTTGCCCCATACAACTTCTATTAAGACCCTTCCATGTGGGAACTACCACTTTGTGATGCAAAGTTCCCTATAAGGTTCTAAAATAGGAATAAATCTGGAAGGACCAGACAAATGGGTCTACAAAATTATTAAACTTATTTCTTAATTCAGGATGTTACTTTTCAAGTATCCTTCATTCTAAGATAAAAAAAAAAAAGACTAAATTTAATCCTTTTTTGGAAAATGACTTTAGACTCCTCTACATGTGGACTTACATATTTTAAAAAACAGAACTCTTAACATATAATACATATACCAGAGATGTGTATTCTTTCTTTCCACTTCACTGAAAAATATTACATTGTGCAGAGGAATATGATTTCAGCTATTTGTTGCTGATATTCTTCATGATAAAATATAATTAAATTTCTGATGTACAAGTCAAGTCATAATTAGGCCTCTGAGGTGAGTAATACAAATTCAAAGGCATATTTGCAACAAATTGATGTTTCAGGTTTGTAATCAATAAATATAATTGAACATCAAGATATCTCAGATATGTACTGGTACCTAGATCACACCCATTATCTAGAAATAAAGCAGACTTGGTTAAGATGAGTAATAATATTTTTCTATTGAATTAACATGTCAGATGCCATGTTTCAAAGAACATTTGCTCCTAGATATAATATTAAGTTTAGAATAATCTGGAAAGAAAAAAATCTAATTTACATTTAACTTATAAGGCCTGACATAAATGTCAACTAAAGACCTGAGGGGGAAATACTTAGTAAAATCCACATCCATTCAAATGTTCTAGAAAGTAATTTGATGACATGAAACAAGAATCTGACTTCTAGGAATCTATTCTATATAGGCAAAACAAAGAAACAAACATAACCCTATTATTTAAGCAGTGCATTTCTTTATGATTCAACATCTTGCCTAACCCAACTCTTTATTCTGTTACTCTTGAGGGATTAACAAATACCAGGTTACCTACTAAGGTTAGTGTTGAGAAGGGCTGGGGATATAGCTCAGTGGTAGAATGCCTGCCTAACAAATGCAAAGTCCTGGCTTCAATTTCTAGCACCAAGGGTGTGAGGTGAGAGGTAGGGGTTATAGATGAGAAATAAAAATAGTAAATAAGCGGTTTGCTTAAAATAGAAACATTATCAAATAAACTGATTTTCTTGGCTTCAGATGAGAAAGTGGATTTTCATAATACTAATTATACAAACACAGAAAATAACCATGTAAAACAACTCAAGCAGTTCTTTTCTTTCCTTTTTTTTTTTTTTTTTTAAAAAAGGAAATAAATGATTTAAAATAGAAATTCAGTGTCATCGTTTCATATATCCACATTGTGTGACAGTTTGTTCTTAAGTGGCTTTGGGCAACCCCGTATAGCAAGGTGAGGAAGTACCGGAGAGCTTTGTGAGGCAAGTTCAGTCGTAGAGATCACACTATACTTGTGTTTTTACAGCTGTTGCATAAACTCTTCTGCAAGGGAAAACAGTCTGGCGCCAGGAAAGAACTCACTGGCTCTGAGCTTTACCTTGTTTCCTGTACCAGCACAGCAGATCCCCAGGGCCATTGCAGCTCCATAGCGTACGTGAGGGTTGTAACTCTCTGACAACAAAGAAACAACACTCGGGCACTGTTCAGGGGTCCTGAAGAGAGACGGAGAAAATGAAGTCGTGTTACAGATTATTATAAATCAAACAAGAGAATTTTAACCATTTTTTTCTTAAGTCAGGAAACAATCGAATGTTTAACAAATAAATTGCAGAATTAAAAATCTCCCATAGACTTCTAATTAATAATAGTAGAAATTTATTTTCTATGTTCAGAGAATGTGTGAAAAAAAAAGACCATATCAGGGATCCTCCATCACAGTTCTGCATTCTGGTTGTTCCTGGGTGCCCTTCATGGTGTGGGGGGGGAACAGCCATGCGGAAAACAGCATCCAGCTCTACAGCCACTTTCCTGTTTCCTGGTCACTCCACATTTTGTTCCAGCAGACAAAAATGTCATTTATAGAGACTTGTAGATGTTTCCACAGCTTCATGAAATATTTAAATAGCACAGTATTATTCTAGTTACAGATCAAATTGGTAAGTATGCTTTCATGATGAGGAAATTCTGACTTTTTTTTGCCTTTAGCTATTTTTTGTTGTTGTAGTATTAAGTGTCAACAAAAAGTTGTTGTTTTCTTTTTCTTAAAGACGATCCTGCTATGAATAAAAACAGTTTATTTCTACAAACCAATTCCCATCTAAAATTCTAAGCTGGCATTGTCCTCTAACCCCAAATTCAAAATGTGTGGCAAATTCTAATTTCAAATGCAACAGTGCCAAGTTTACAAAAGCTAGGTCTAGTAAATGAACGCTATGATATAAGGGAAGGCTGGAATACTTCCACCCACAGTTGAGTCCGTCACGCTTTTCTAAGTGTTCTCTATCTGACCGTGCTGCCTTATGTGAGTGATTCTGGAATTAATAGCAACAATATCGAAAAACAGTATGGTGAAATAAAAAGTAATGTTATAGGAAATAGAGGAACTTAGTTCTAGTCTTGGCTTTGCTAATTTTTATGTTACATTACCCAAGTCATTTAGGTTTTCTTTGTAATTAGAGACAGATTTTTTTTGACTATTTTGCAGTAATAATACAAAAATGGGTGAGCAAATAACTGAAAATATAGTACTGGGTCCTGGTTTAAACTCCCCCAGGATTTAAAGGTGTGATTATCTGCCAATCAGCTGATACAGTGGTTCTAAATTACTTTTTGGATCAGAGTCATGCCCCCTCCCCAAATGTATGGATAAACATAATTTTGGAAGTCTAATTTTTTAAAAAATATTTTTTTAGTTGTTGTTGGTCCTTTATTTTCATGTGGTGCTGAAAATTGAACCCAGTGCCTCACACATTCTAGGCAAGCACTCTACCACTGAGCTATAACCCCAGCCCCTGGAAGCCTAATTTCTAACTGTAAAATGAGGTAATGTATCCTCTGAGGTTTTAAAATCTAGTTCAAATAGCATCTTGTAAAGAAAATGAAAACACAATCAACCTTATTACTCTTAAGCATTGTTACCACCATTAGGTACAAAATTGCAGGTTCAATAAGTAAAAACATTACCCAATCCCTGGTATACAATTCAGGCGTGTACGTGTGTATGTGTGGGTTTTTTGTTTTGTTTTGTCTTATGGTACTGGGGATCAAACCCAGTGCCTCACACATACTAGACAAGCGCTCTGCCACTAAAGTGTACCCTAAGCCCTATAATTAAGCTTCAATGAAAAAAAGTTGTAACTTTTGGTTTTAAAAAAAAAATGTCTTGGCTTGCAGCTAACAGCCACCTTTCCAATGTTATTATTTGTCTAAACCTTCCACAGGGCAGGGATTGTGCAAGGCAATATGCACAAATCACTGACATATCATTCGACCATAAACTGCACATATGAGTTCCTTTCTTTCACTTTTTACTGCTTTTTACTGTTGTTTCTTTATTGAATGTTTTGTGCAATTTCTACATTAAATCATACTGATAAATCAAGATATTTCCAAGGAGACATCCCAGCAACCCCAATTTGTTTTCACTAGTGGAGGAAAAGCAGCAGAAACATTGTTTTTTGCAGGAATCAAAAAGGTAACTTCTGAGGCTATAAACCTCAGGTAGAATTATGAATTTATAATCCTCATTAGGTAAATGCCAGTGTCAGAAGATTAACACAATACAAGGAATTAAGAACCACCCCTGGTTAAAGCCCTTGTACAACAGATTCCAAATAATCTAACCAGAATCCTGAATTTCTAAGTGCTTGTTGAATGTCTTTAACCAAACATGCCAGATACCTCAGTCAACATACAGAATCCCACACAGAAAGAGGAATCAAGAAAGGCATCTTTCCCCTATACCTCCTCTCTTCACACCGTGACCATTCCATTCTTTCCCTCTCCACACCTAATCAGCCAGCAAGTCAAGTGAAACCTTTAAGTCTTAGTTCTGTTTCCACTGTCTTGTTTCAGGCCTTGATCATTTCTCATTGGAATTAAAACAGCGATTCCTGAAATAATCTGTCTCCTTTTGTTTTTCTTCAGTTTCTTGTTTTAGAAAGAACACAGGCTTAAAATCAGAAAGATCTAGATTCCAGTGGCTGGAGATGTAGCTCAGTGGGAGAGCACTTGCCTAGCAGGCCCAAGGCCCTGGGTTCAATCCCCAGAACCACAAAAAATGAAGGAAGGAAGGAAGGAAGGAGGGAGGGAGGGAGGGAGGGAGAAAGATAGATTGATCTATATTCCAATTCTAGTACCATCATTTATTAGTAGGGTAACAAGCACTAAACCTCTAATCCTTAAACAGAAAGATGGTTAAATTTAGAAATCCAACTTTCACATTTCAACTTTTTAGGGAGGTAACTGGTTTAATCATCAGAATATCTGCTCCATTTTATGCAGGCTGAGGAGAGCTGGTGGTGATAGACTAAAACATTATGCTGTAATCAATGAAATGCAAATATACAGCCAGAATTTGGCTTTGGATCAGAACAAGGAATTTTGTTATAGCTCCTTAAAACAAAACAAAACAAAAAAGATAGAGCAATTCATGGCCAAAGAGTCTTTCAAAACAATATAAAATCGAAAGATGGTTAAATTTAAAAATCCAACTTTCACATTTCAACTTTTTAGGGAGGTAATGGCACACAAAAACCAACTTGGCCCTTGGCTGCAGCAGGAGCAAGCTATTCCAGGGCAAATTTACTCACAGGAAAGAATTTACTTAAAAGTTTACTTAGAATTTCATTTCCTTTATAATTTTCACTTGCTAAGAAAAGTATTATATTGAAACTGGGTATGGTGGCACATAATTTTGGAGGCCAAGTTTGAAGCTAACTTGGGCAACTGTGAGACCCTGTCTCAAAATAAAAATTAAAGAAAAGCGCTGGGAGTAACACACACGTACACACTTACACTGAGACTATATAAAATATCCTAATACTATTCTTAAACCAACCAAAAAATTCAAGTTCTTTTCTTTAGAAGAAAAATTACCCAAAAGACAATAGAACTTGGATTTGGACTTTATTTTCCAAAAGACACCAACAATTTCATGAAAATTTAGAAAAGTTTTGCCTGGAAACATAAATACTAGAGCTTAATGTAGAGCTTTACCTAGCTGGATGCAATAAAGATTAAAACAGGTTTTGAAGGCAATAAACTCAAAGGTGTATATTAAAGAAACTGTCAGCTTCTCAGTCTAATAACAGTTCCAATTTTTGACACATTCCTTAGAAAAAACAAGTTTTAAGATAAGAAATGACATATTATTTAATAGATTAGGTTAGACATTCACTTTCTTCAAGAATACAATAAAATCATAATATTCTTATATGTTTATTTTAGTGTTTCACCAGGCAGCTCTAAAAGGACAAAGAAATCTTTCTAAGCAATGACTGGAATGCAAACATTCACTGAAAGCAAAACTTGTGCGCATTCATCTTTATGCTTATATACACACACAGACATATGATATATGTATAAAGCTTTTCAATTAACAGTTAATAAAAAGAAGCAGACCTATGTGTACTGCCAGCCTTGCCCCTTAATACATAAACTAACAAAAAAATGGTGAGAGAAAAATGGAAACTGAATATGATCAAGCTTCCTGATCCAATTATTAGTTTACAGGAAAGAGAATACGTTAAACCACACACAGAAATGCAATCACTGAAATCTATATTGTGGGAAATTAAGCAGGAATAATGGCCTGGTTTCTTCAAGAAATAAAATGCAAGGAGAAAAAAAAAAAAAGAAAAAGAAGAAACAAGGAAAGGAAGAGAAAAGGAAAAGAGGGTAAAGCAAGAGAAGGAAAATCAGAGATTAAGGACACTAAATCTTAGAAATAGTCCATTAGGCATTCTTTTAGTTATTTTAGATAATTCTGACACTCCCTAAATCTCAGCTTTTCTACATAAACACCGGACTCTCATGACGTCACAAAATATTCCTCTGGTTTATTATAATACCCTTGGATAAGCGTTTATTAACAAAGTATTTAAATGACTAATTACTGATCAACAATAAGAGCTCATTTCTATGTTTCCATGAACATATTTACAAAAACAAATGCCTAGGGGCTGGGGTTGTGACTCAGTGGTAGAGCACTTGCTTAGCACATGTGAGGCACTGGAGTTTGGTCTCAGCACCACATGAAATAAATAAGTTGCCAGGCTGATGTGTGCCTGTAATCCCAGAGCTTTGGAGGCTGAGGCAGGAGGATCAAGAGTTCAAAGCTAGCCTCAGCAAAAGTGAGGTGCTAAGCAATTCAGTGAGACCCTGTTCTAAATAAAATACAAAATAGGGTTAAGAACGTGGCTCAGTGGTTGAGTGCCCCCTTGAGTTCAATCCCTGGTATCCACCACCCAAATTAAATAAGTAAATAAATAAAATAAAGGTATCATGTCCATCTATAACTAAAAATATTTTTTTAAAAAACTGTCTAGGGCTAGGGATGTAGCCCTAGAAGAGTGGAAGAGTGCTTGCCTATTATTCATGAGGTCCTGAGTTCAATCCCCAACACTGAAAATAAATAAATAAAACTAAAATAAATGTCTAGAAATGGTCAAGACAGAAAAAACAGTGGATTTTATTTTAAGGAGGGATAGAT